TTTTTCACTGCTGTTACTAATAGGTAAGATTAATTGGTTGAACTAATGTTTGGAATAAAGCTCCTGTGTTGTCTCTGTTCTCAGAAATCACAGAATGAGTGGGAGCTTTCCATATCATATAAACATGCTCTGGTGGAAGGGTGCTAGAATGACATCCAGAGTGGTTATGTGGCATTTCCAGCAGAAGTATTCAATTGAAGTGGACACTGCAGTGTTCTTCTGGAGTTACGATCCCGCCTGGTGGGGTTATTCCTCAGCCAGGCATTAATGAAGTTGTATGTATTTTACAATATTTGGGGACCATTGTCTAAGAATTAGTACGTTCTGTTTAAAACCGAACTGTTGAGGTCTAGAACAATTGCTCCTAAATTTGATACTTAAACTGAAAAGCAAAGTAAAACAGTGTAGAAAATAGGAGGACTATTCCAGTGATTGTCCATTAATTTTTTCAGTGTTCCTTCAGCCCTTTATATATCAGATGTGACTTGGAGAATATCTATTACCTGTTTGAAGTAAATTACTAACACAATACTCTATTCAACTGATTGCTGATCTTGTCCTAAGTTTGCAAATTAGCACATAGCTACAGGGAAAGAATAATTGTGGAAAATGCTTATTGTTGAACGAATTCTCAGATGGTGAAATGCTTGCAATTAAGCTAAATGTCACATTAAACAGCGCATAATTATTGTAGCAATCCTTATTAAGCAATAACATACTTATTAAGCAGCTCTTATTGGGATTCCTGTTTTAGGTTTGATGTTTAGTGGTGTTTCATTTTGTCTGTAATATGTAATTACTGTCTGAATAGCCCGCTTGCCTTACGCTTGTGTGACCTGTGTGTCAAAGAGCAGATGTCGCTGTATCCTTTCAGAGTAATTATTGCATATTTGTAGGTAGGTCTTGCAGGCAGGAAAAGCAAATCAGTGCACACTACCTCAAATAAACTACACTTGGGGTGTTATTGCCTGCTTTTTGTGGGATTAGAGAAGCTGTATGGGGTGATAGTATGGTACTCTTTCTGTCCGATAAAAGATGGCAAACAGAGCAATGTGTAGGTTTTTTTTATTAGATTGGCTTGATTTATTAATCCCTTTCATGTCCTTATGGCTTGCAGTGTTATAGATGTCTTGTAAGAGACAGTAGGATGCCTTCCTTTACAGTTTTCCATAAACAAAGACATCCCACTGACTCACAATTTTTGTACAAGTCAAGCAAGTTTTGCTTAACTTCTTATTTTTGGAAACAGTGATTTGATTGAATTTCTCTTTGGTTTCATTGACTAATAAACTTATCTGTGCTATTGCAGGTTCCTTGGTACTCCGTAGATCTCAGTGGTATTTTTGGGGGGAAAAACTTTTTTTTTTTTTTTTTTTTTTTTTTTTTTTTTTTTTTTTTTTGGATGTGGTAGTAAGTCCTGGCGGGCAAAGCCTTACTTTCAGTTAAATGCTCCTTCACGGAATAATCCAGGTTGAAAAGGACAACGGCCGCTTTGTTCAGTCAGATCTTGAAAACCTCCAAGGATGAGATTCTGCTCTCCCTTGGGGCAGCCTGTTCCAAGGGTTGTCCTCATAGTGACCAGTTTTTTCCTTATATCCAGCTGGGAGCTCCCCTGTTTCGATGTACGCCCACCGTCTCTCCTTCTCCCACCGGTGTCCCGCTGTGATGAAATCAAACACCCATCCGGTACCTGATTAGGTTACAGTGGTTAGGAGACAGATGAGATCTATCCTTTATTTTCAACTTTTTGTACTTTCTATAAACAGATCACTGCGAATTATATTTCATTTTGTTTTGCTTTAATTAGCAGTGGCCTCCCATTCCAGATTGGGAGCTATAAAGAATCTTTCTGAAGTTCTGGCTTTTGATGCCTAAATTGCAGTGGGTTTTCAATAAAATGTAGTTAATATTATTATTCACGTTGTGCTGAGATGTTTCTTTTAATTGACTCAGATTTATTTCAAGGAAAGTGTAACTTTAACATGACTCTTCTAAAAATAATTAAATTCTAATTACAAAGCAGACTATTGACTAGGAAGTATTTACATCCTTCTCCTCATTTAAGCTGCTGAACAGGATATTTAACTAAGCAATGAAACATTGTGGATAAGTTTACTGCTGCGTCCTGAAGAGATCATCAGGAAGTGGAAAAAAAAAAAATCTGTAGTAATGGGATTTGCATCTAATTTTTAACCTTATTTTTCATGTTTCTTTTTTTGGTGTGCCAAGAGCAGGCTATGTTTTTAGCAGGTTTGCCAGAGAATAATTGCAAATTGTGATGTGTCTAACGATAGTGTAATTACTTATGAGTCCTTGCTTTTTTTTTTTTGGTAATTTTTCATTCTAAATTCACATCTGACATTAAATAATGGCCACTTCTTGCTAAGGCTTTGGCTATGTTTCTCTCTATATATATATCCTGTTAATGTAGGGATTGGTAAATCTGCAGCTATTACATAGAGTAGTTCACGAGCAACACCCAAAAATGTATAACAAGTACTAACGAGATGAGTTCTCTGCAGTGGTGAAAGAGCAGTGGTAGGTTTGATGAGTGAAATTTGGCCAGTCCTCTGCTACAGCTGCTTTGTGATGCTCCATGGGGGGTGTTTAATGCTATTTTTAATGCTATTTGCTATCCTAAGAAATAAGTAGTAAATCCTTAATTGGTGTAACGTGTTTCAAGCTCCCATTGAAATGCTGTTAAGCACTATGCTGAGGGGAAACAATATTACTCTCGAATTTTTGCTTTAAAGAGTGGTGAAGCCCAAACTTTTCCTCTACTGAAACTTCCACATCTCAAAAAATTAAACTGCCTTTGCTGAACTGCTTCAGAGAAATGAAAGTTGAAGTAAGCTTGTGATACAGTTGCGTTGCGATGCTTAGTCTTTGTGGTAGTTACTTTCCTCTGTTAATAAAAAACCACCTAGAGGTTTGAATTGGGACTATTATTTTTAGTGAGATGACAGCATATACATAATCTGATGTCTGGTTTTGAATCCTGTTGGCATTTGTATAAGAGCATTCTTTTAAATCAAGGTGAAGTATCAGGGCTGAACATTTAAATTGTCAGTGGACCTCTTCATGTAACTGAACTTCAAAAGCATATTTAAAGATCCAGTTTTTTGAATATTCAGTTTTTAAGCACATTGAATCGTGTTGAAAGCCTGTCGTTAGTGTAGTACAGCTTGTAGAGCACAGTTATAGTTTGATGCTGCCTTTTCCCATTCAAGACACGTGTCAGGGCTGAGTCCTTCCCTTGGACTGCTATCTTTCAGTGTGAAATGGAGGCATAAAAGGGACAAAGATTTTTCACATAGCCTGAAGGATTCCACAAAAGCTGGAGCTGTCGAAACCCCAGTGACTCTGAAAACTCGTCTTGCCCCCAGCCTGTCCACCAGGGGAGAAGGTGCCGGAGCAAGGGCAGAGTTGTGGTCCTGGCCTGGAGGATGAGGGACGTAGCAAGAGCACGGGTTGTGTAGGAGGAGAAGCTTGGCTGTATCCAATCCCTATTTACTTTTCCTCCTTTACTAACAATGAAAAAAAATATATTTTATTCAAATTTATTTATTTACTTTTTTATTATGCAATGTCAGGCCCCTGGCTCTGGAGGATTAACTCTTCTGTTCGTGAAGAACGAGGAAGGGGATTACCAACAGAACTGCCAACAGCTGAGTGAAGACTCCATACTATAATTGCAGCCATTAAGGGGCTGGTTTTGGTTTTCATGTGTGTGTTTGGTTTTGTAGTGTAAGCATGTAACTGATTCTGGTAGTTCTAAAATCAATTTAAAAAAACTTGTCTGGAGTAGCATTTCTTAATATAAATTGACCTATTTATTGTAAGTTCATTTTTGGCCTTGAAAAAATACAAAAGACAGGGTAGTTGCAGGGTATTTTCCCGTCAGCATTAGCTATGGAATGGTCTTCCGGAGTGAAATGGCTCTGTTAGGAGGCACTGGAAAGTTTTCAAACTTAGAAATGAGATGAGACCCTCTTGAGACATGATCATCAAAATCCCTTTAATATGTTAAGATTCGACCAGAGTGCTTTTTCTCTACCTTTTCTCTTCAGTTTGCAAGCAATTATGTACTTCATAGCCCCCAGATTATTTTTTCAGCTTGGTGGATTTTTGTCGAATAACATTGTCACAGGAAAATCTTTCTGTTTAGCCTTCTCTAATTAAGTTCACATGCAAATCCTCAAATAAGATTCATCCGCTTACATATGTTAACGTGCCCTAGAACTAAGAATGACATTGCTGGGTTTAATTTTGGCTTTATTTCTCTTCCCAAATAACAAGCTCTACCACCTCTCATAGTGCCATGTGCCGCAAATGGAAGCGACTTGCTCGAGGTACATCCCGGGGTGATTCGGAAGTCGATGCATGTGAGGTGCCTTCTCTGCCGTGGGGGCTCTGCTCTCCAAGCAGCACCCTGCGGGACCTATCCTGCAGCACATCTCCTATCATATCATTCTGAACTGCTTTTAAGAGTATGGTCTTATTTTCATCGTATTTATCCTCACCATTTTATCACGGCAGATGATGATTCAGCTGCTTCCCAGTGCAGTTTATTCCATTGACTAATTGCTCTATTAAGACTGTTTTCCTCTTGTCTAACTTGACTATCTTTTCCTATTAGATTCTTGTTCCTTTATGATCATTTTTATATTCATTTGTACAAGTGAAATTAAATATTCCTATTTCCTCAGGCTTTGAGATGCATTTTTACTGCTACAGAAATGTGCCTGGCCTGCCTTTAATTTGAGATGTTGCGGGGCACATTTTCCCTGCAAGTTTCTCTGAGTGGTCTCGTGATGGGAGTACGCTGGGAGGACATACGAATTGCAGCCTTTAGGAAGCTTTTAAAGAATTTTAGGGACCAGCTGGTAGTTATTTACTCTGTCATACGTGGCAGAGTATGGTTTGGATGCTCCCGGGCTTCAGGGCAGACCTGTGGCAGGAGTATTGCGTGGCATTTCTCAATGCTCCCTCTTTTGCAGGTCACTGGGGCCGGTGTGTGGGCGACTGCGGCTCGGGGGGCGTTCGGAGTCGGGCCGTCTGGTGCACCCACGCGGAGGGCTGGACAACGTACCACGCAAACTGCGACCAGAAGGACAAACCCGAAAGCCAGAGGAGGTGCTTTAAAGTCTGCGACTGGCACCTGGAGCTGTTCGAGTGGGAGGTTTCGGGATGGGACAGGTGTGGGCTCGTCCCCTTTGCTGGGGGTGAGGTGGGAGCCGGGGCTTGTATCACCGCACAGCACGGGCTGCAGCGCCGGAGCATCCGCTGCCTCCAGAAGCTGAACAGAACCGCTGTCGCCAACGAAATATGTGAGTATTTCACGCCACAGCCGCCCGCTGAGCAAGCCTGCCTGGTGCCCTGCCCGCGGGACTGCGTCGTGTCCGAGTTCTCCAGCTGGTCCGAGTGCGGCACGGGCTGCGCCAAGAGCTTGCAGCACCGGACACGGGTGGTCATCGCTCCTCCTCTCTACGGGGGTGCCCCGTGCCCGAATCTGACCGAATCCAGAGCCTGCGGTGCTCCCGCCTGTCCCCTCGGGGAGGAGGAGCACACCTACAGCCTCCGAGTGGGGTCTTGGGGCGAATGCCGGCTGCCCCATCCGAAAGACGTCAGCCTGGCAGGGAGGACTATGCCGGATTTTGGTTTGGACTCTGGAGAGCGAAGCACGTCCGGACTTCACGGCTACAAATCCCACCACCGTCCCGGGGAGGTGGAGATCGGTTACCAAACCAGGCAGGTCAGGTGCGTGAGGAGCGACGGAAAATCTGCAGTGCTGAGGTAAGGGTGCTTCATCTTTTACGTCATCCCCGGTGGAGTTGTTTGATGGAGTGCATGCTCCGTGTGGCAGCAACCGCAGCAACCGCACTTGTGTTCTTGGGATTTAAAAGCAGAGTTTTATGTGTTTTCTTTATGGTCTTTTTTTTTTTTTTTTTTTTTTAATTTTTTATTTAATTCCCTTCTTCCAAAGCTAACATACGCTGAGCATTTTGCATGCTTCTATGATTTGTGACTGTTGAGTTCATTTTATGTTTTTAGTAATTCTCTTTTTTAAATGTGGTTTTTTTTTTTTTTTGGTTGTTTTGAGGAAACATTGAGGAAATGGAATTATACATCACTTTGCACTGTTGCTGGGCCTGGCTGTGGGAGAGGGAGGTTTCTTTCTCAGCTATGTACTGCATATATTTGGTGGAAGAGGTTAAAATCACACCCATTTAAACTCCTTCATTCTTACAAATCAACACCGGATAAAATAAGTCTGAAAAGTTTGGCCTTGCCAATTTACTGGAAGGTATTTCTTAGAAGGATAGATCAGTGAGCAAACCTGTGACCGAGGAGCCTTCCCGTCTGGGTGTAACTCTTGGATGCCAATACTAGATACATGACTTGCTTTTTTTTTCTTGTCCTCATGAGTTTTATCTCACACTTTCTCTTGGTCTGTATAGGTTGCTTTGCTGTAATTCAAATGCGAAGGCTGCCGTATGTGCAGCAAATAATGGAAAGATTTATTTTCTCCGTTTCTCGCGTTTAAATTTAAGCTATCTAAGCTCTGCCATTTGGCTTCAGGTTGGATTTGTAGGTGACTGAGAAATGGATGGAGTTTGAGAAAGTTGAGATTTCTGGAGAACTTCTCATGTTCTGTTTTTCAGGGACATTAAAAGTTCTTGAAAAAACCTGCTCCTGAATTTTGTGGAAATCAATCTGTTTCTGAGTAATCTATAGCTCCTGGCACCTGCGCAAACTCAAATTGCAGAGAGAAGGGGTTATTTTATGTCCAATTCTCTACCCCTGTTAATGTCTGCAGTGGTTTTGCACACATACTGAGGTGAAAATATACATTCTAGCCTTTTTCTTACCCCCTCCTATTACACCTGTACCAAAGTATGGATTTTTTTTTTTTTTATTATTGCTTGGAAAAAAGTCAAGCTTTGTGAACTGTTCCGGCAATTTCTAACATCTTGACTTTATTACTTGTCTGTAAATATATGCTGATTCTAAATATACAGATTTTATGCTCATGTGGCTGCTTGACTTTAATGGAGTCACTTGGAATTTATGCCGCCATGTGACCAGCAGCAGGTTTCTGTCTGCTAACACTTGTTAGCTGTTCTGCTGTCCCTGGTATCTCTTTCCTTATCGGAGGCTCTGGGAAGGGGATCCTGACTTTGTTAAAATTTCAGTCGCTCTGCCCTTGCACGCTCACTGCTATATTTGCTGGAAGAGTAGGGAATGGAAGACGCTGTTTTTAGAAATGTTTTCTCTTTGTTGTGCTGCTGTGTGAGATGACAGCGCAGAGGGTCCTGGGAGCTTTAGCTGTAGTGACTCTACCCCTGATCAAGCTGTCTTCTGCCTTGCTTCTCTATTTTTTTTTTTTTTTTTACTGATCTAGCCCCCTCTTTAGGAGTGTACAACTCCATTAACCACCTCCTGGCAGACTTTTTCTGCTGAGGCCGTGTCTCAGATTTAGTGCAGAGAGCTGAGCCTGACCCCTCCCTTGCTCTAACTCCAAATACAAGAGGAAAGCCCATTGATTGAATAGAGGACAAAAGGTCTTGTCGTGTTAGTGTCCAGGCAGTCCCGCACTTTTCCTTTCTCCTTTTGGACCTAAAGTCCAGCCTGTGTTTAATTCCAGGGCTGGAGTGTCACTGATACTAAATACCCTGACAACGACTGCCATTAAGCATCCCGCGGTAATGTCCTCCTTGTTTAGTTGTGCAGCGTATTTGCTGCCACTCTTCTGAAGAATGGGCCCGATCTTGCAGATGTCACTTTACAAGAGCGATGATATTTTGGCTACTGATGAAGAAGAGTAAATGCATTTGCATAGCCCTGTAGCGGGGGTTTGGCAGGCAGCCAAGCATCTGCTGTAGGACTGGAAAGAAGTGCCTTATTTCTGCTTTTTCATTTTCCTGGCCGTGGTTTCCTATTTGGACTAACATTGTTGAGTAAGTACCAATGAGAGAGACAAATTTCTGGAAATCTGAGGCAAGGGAGAGGACTATCCCAAGATGTGCTTTAACGGCGGGCTCTGAGCTGCTGGCCTGCCAGGGCTTTGCCACCACCCTGCCTCCCGCCGCCGCCTGGTTCTTGCAGGAAAGCGGCAGCTAACGGGAGCGATCAGCTCGCCACCCCTGGTCGAAGGCCACGTGAGGAGCAGAACCGTATGCTCATCTCGCCTCCTGATTTATATTGCAATGGCAAAGATGCCTAATTTATTATCAAGGATGTTTAATTTTAGTGATGTCTGATCTCAGGGCAGCTGTTCTGCTCACTGATGGGAGAGGGTACCAGGTACGCCCGTCGGCGTGAAAGAACACTCCTTTGCCAAAAATTGGATTTCAGTGGGCTGGGGTGCAAGCTGGTTTTTAAAAACTAAAAGACTGAATGCATTCGCTTCTTACAGATGCCAGATTACTGGCAGGACATACATTTTGGCCTCTTTGCTAACAAGTTTGCGATGGATTGGAATGGCAGATGGGTGTTCTTCCTCTTCTGAAATAAGCAGCAGCGGTGGGAAATGTGCCTGATTTCAGATTTTTTGCTGATGCTTAAGTTATGCTCTTGAACCCTGCAAAAAAGATCCTTTGGTTTTACAGTGAACCCTCAGGTAGGAGCTGAAGCATCCTTTGCGTTGTACGGAAAATATGTTTTTCATTTAAATAGTTGGACCTATGAAGGTCTGTGTGTCCGCAAGAAAAAGTCTGAGCAATTTTAAAGGTAAAAACTGTAACCAGGAGTTAGTTATTTGGAGAGGAGCACAAGGAAGATTGGATATGGCCTATCAGGGAAACTGAGCTGGGGAGTTTTTAATGAAATATTTTTTCAGTTTAGAGGCATTACATTTGTCAAAATTGAAGGGAACGGGAGAAAGGAAGGGAGAAGGGAGGGACAGACCTTTTTGAAAACGCTTGAGGACAACTGAACAGCAGAACATCAGTGGGCCTGGAGACAGGTTCATTTCTGCTCAGAAACAATTTTGGTGTAGAAAATGTATATTCGTGAAAGCAAAAGGAATAACATCAAAATAGAATGATTTATGGATCTGGTTTGAAGCTTTTAAGGACTTTATTCTAAAAAGCTGGATTATTTTTGATACTATTTCAGATAGAATTCAGATTTCATTCTATCTCAGAGAAAAGTTTTAGTTTTGCATTAAATCTCATATCCAGTAACAAAATATCCACCTAATTAAAATATCCAAATAAGCACTTCCATACATTTGATAAAAAAAAAAAAAATCTGAAAAAGTCGCAAGAAATGTATGTGCTAGAACTTCTGCTCTTTTTGGTTTTCTGTCTTGTCACAGTTGTAAAAATCTACTGAATCATGAGACAAAGGCACTTGTGTTCCTTTTTTTTTTTTAAAAAAAAAGTTATTTAGGTTACAAACTAAATTATAATTTAGTGAAATGAGTGCCCATAGCTAGACTAAGATAGATATCCTAAATAAATTTAACTTGATTTTCCAACCTGATGTATATGCTCACTAAGCATACAGAGAATTTAAAGTCAGGAGCAAACAGTTTTAGGTTAGTTGTTGTTGTTATTATTATTATTATTAGGATTAGGAGTCTTTTTAGGTACATATTTCTTAAACTCTTCATTCTACATGTAAGATGACAACAATGATATAATAGAGTTGGATTTAGGTTTTTGTTTACTTTGCCTTTGTAAGTGAAAATTCAGGTCAAACTCAGTCAAGGGATAACCCATCCGTCAAGGCTGAGGTAGAGCAGCATTCAGCTTTTTGTTTGCCTCTGTAATTTGAATTTCCATTATCCATTTCCTAGTGGCTTGTGCTTAACCACTGTGCTGTTGTACGTTTTTGGGGAAAAAAATTATTTGCCTTTTCTAGTGTTGACATTCTTCTGTTCTCTGGATGAATACAAAATTTTGCAGTCCAGAGGTGGAAACGCTGTGCTGTAACATGCTATTTGATGGTTATGATTCTGATCTGGGAGAGGAGATGTGTGTTCACATTCCTCCCAGCAGATGTAGGAATCAAGCCTCAGTGCTCAGGCTTGAAAACAATTCCCTGAGCTATTGGGTAAGAAGATTTTATTTTCTGGAGTTCTTTTAAATAGCTTGGTGTCTCATTTCCTTTGCTTTTATTAAAAGCTCATGAAACAAAGGAACAGTGAACGCTTTTTTTTAATTTCAAGAACATTTTAGAAAGAG